TTATTATTATTTAAACACATAAATATTAGTACAAGGAAGCACCAGATATATATGCTCCACACAAATCTCATTCGATTTGTGTGAGGACTGTGATACTGTCCAGGTGCCCAAACTGCAACAGGTGGTTTTCTTAGGAGGTCACACTCTGAGCCTTTGACCTAAAGGTCTAACCCAAAAGACAGTGGAGCATCGTGAGGAGATGTAGTCCCATGGTAGCCGGTGACCAACAATTGGTTCGTACGTCATTCGGTCCTTCAGGATACTGGAGCCCATGTGCACCATTGGTTTGGAATCAGGGTTTTCCAACTCCACCAACCTGGTTAAAGCGTCGGACATTTGCTTTTCGTCCCCTCGCTTTCGTAAACAACATCTCTGCCACGAGAAGGCAGTGATTAGGACTTCCCTGACAGAGGCTATATACGCGTGGCCATGTGAGAGCATTTGGAGAGCGGACTTTCCCCACTCTCGGCAGTGCTAGGGCATTTGGGGGCTAGGATATAACACAACATAGTAAGTATTGTCACATCTCTAAATGCACTTAACTTTATTCGTTTTCTAAGAGTTACGTCTTGAAGCCAGCCACCAGTGAGTATATTAGGTTAGTGTTTTCGTGTGACCTGAGGTCCTGAGCTTGAGTCTCACAAGCGGGAACGTGGATGCGTACTGATGGAAGGTCCTACACTATTACGAAACAGCCATCCAACGCTTTGAGATTTTCAGTGGTGATTTAGTTTAGACTGAATCCTGATTTAAACTGTGGAAATACTACACTCTCCACAAATCTGCAAGCTCGAATTCTTAATGTATCAGAATACATTAACAAATCATCAAACTATACTATTGATTGGTCATTTAATAATGACCGATGTCATGTTTATCTAGTTTACTACTGCTAATTGAATCCTATCGATCATCTTGGAATGTACTCATTAATCTAGAGGAAATGATGTCGTAAGAGTCATATTTCGACGTTCGATACCTAGAGGTAATCGACAAGACACTATGATGTTTTCTTTAGACCATATCCGACCACTTGATATCACTAATTTGTGATCGATGCTTTAGCCAAAAGAACGTAATATTAGGGATGACATTGAATTCTATATTACTTGTTAATTGATTTGAATAATCTTTGATTTGTTTATTATTTCATATTTTGAGAAAACCTCAAAACAAATATAGTAGGTATTGAATACTGATAACTTAGTTCTGTATATTCATTTGTTGTTGTTTACTTGTATCTTCCCATTGTTATTTTGGATTGCAATGGGAAGATACAATTAAACAACAACAAGTGAATATAACTTTACCCCATTGCACAAGCATGTGGCTATCAGGACTCAGAAGCTAAGTGGATAACGCGATGACGTTTGAAGCGAATGGTACTGGGTTCGAGTCCCAGAGTGAACATCAACTGCGAGATGCAGGTACATCCAGCTGACGAGTCCCAAATAGGATGAAACGCGCGTTAAACTGGATTCTACTACTATCCACTATCCATCTTTGTTTAATTCTGTATAGTTTTAAGTGAGATATAAGATTTTACCAAACAAGTTACAAGATTATACATTGAGTATTTGTAAACTGTACCCACATTACTCACTATGATAGTGGGAAACATTATCATAAAGATATTTGTACAGTAATTAATCCATTCAATGATTATTCATTATAAATCAATAATTCTTCTTAGTTGTTTATTGAGGAAGTAAGAAAACCCGATTGCTGATTTGTAATAAGAATTTTTGTAAAATTAATTGACTTATTTATAGGCAAAGATGGATAGTGGCTAGTAGTGGATCACAGGATGCGTGTTTCGTCCTATTTGAGACTTGTCATCTGGATGTACCTGCATCTCAGAGTTGATGTTCACTCTGGTACTCGAACGCAGTAACATTCGCTTCAAACGCCATCGTGTTATCCATTCAGCTACTGAGTCCTGATAACCACTTACGATACGCACAGTATGCACATATGCCAATAAGAGACTGATCAATTGCGGTCTTAAACATTAATGTGAACATTCAAACAAACAATACTAAGTTAATTGATTTATTTAGTTTCTTTGATAGTTGCCGGATTCTGATTAAATCTACCTATAGTTTAGGTGATAGACAAATTATTTAAAGATGAGTTTATTCTATTCATTAAACTTTCTATAACTAATAAGTTAATTCACTTAAAACTAATTTAGTGCTGGTGTAGTGTGGATTATTTATATCCACATAATTAATATATAACAATGGTCAGGTATAGAATGTATTTCAGTAGCAGATCGATAATAAAAGTATGGGAACGGAATGCAATTGGTATGAAAATGCATGAACAATGAAATGATAAACGACGGATTGATATTTGCAGAAGGAACGGTGAAGATTATGAGAATGGATTGATAGTTTGTAAATTAATTGTTTACTGTTTGGTTGTCAGATTATAGTGAGATAGTTTGTAATTTTCGTGTCGAATACATTCGATTGTCCCCTATTCGTTTTCTTGTTCATTACACTGGGACTTATTTGTTGATTCCGTTCTGTGAATGTTTGCTTACTTTGCCCACTTTATAATGAATATAATGTATACAGGGGGGTAACTTTCAGAATATTAATCTTAATTAGTTGTATCATTTATGGTCAATGCATCCAATTAATCGTTTGTTAATTAAGTTACTGACATAATTAATCTAATGATGGTTACATTAATTAACTTTTGTTTATTGATGATTATTCAAGTTTCCTAAGGTTGACTTTAGTTTAATCTAAAATCTATAGTCCTATTGTATTATATCATAATCAACAGAAAAGGATAAAACTTACATACAACAGTGGAGTATTCATTGTTAATACCTAGCTAAAAGTTATAACTTGATGAATACGTAGTTACTTGGAGCGGATAAGCTTAGATAAGATGTTACTTAAAGTATAATTAAACAGTGTCAGTTAACGTTTTATTATCTTTTTTGGTTGGTCTAATTTATAGGAAGTTAGTTTTCTATGGGATAGGATCGCTAACCCCATGCCCAATCCTTCACGTTTATCCAGGATTGGGACTGTCATTAACTCCAGAGTGTCTCCAAGCGGAGTTTAATCAATGTCAGTAGTCATGAAGTACTGTCAACTGATGATAGTTGGAAATATAATTTGTTGAGTAATACTGAAGATAGATAAAGTCCTGAAATTGAACCAGTTTGCATTCAGGAATATATGCCATTGATAATCAATATACTAGACAAAGAAATCTGTTCGATGCTCACAGATTTTCAACAGACCTACTGTTGAACTCATATCATATTTTGAAGTATTCTCAATTTTATTTTATTTTGGGTATATATTTTATTGAGGAATCAATTATATGATGATTATTCAATTTATCACTGCTAGCTCTATTTAAAATCTTATAGTTGAATTCATGAGTCGTTTGAAGCTAGACCACAATGGAAAACATGGAAGCACTGGACGACTGTTTCGTTCTATTAAGGGACTTTTCTGCAGTGTGCATCCACGATCCCGCTTCACGAGATTCGAACCCAGGACCTATCAGTCTATTTAAAATCGTTGTTTCCTGTGGAAAATTAGTATGCAAAAACGATAACTTGTAATTCTGTAGAAGTTTATATCCACTTTTAACCCCTGCCAGATACCATCAGCAACAGCGTACTGTGGGAGACGACAGACCAGCTTCCAGCTGAAGAAGAAATTAAGAAAAGACTGTGGAAGTGGATAGGACATACATAAGGGAAATCACCAAACTGCATCACGGGACAAGCACTAACTTGGAATCCTGAAGGGAAACGGTAAAGTGGGAAGTTGAAGAACCCAGTTCGTCGAGGATTGGAAGCAAATATGAACATAACGAGAGGAACATCAGACGATAAAAAAGCATAGGAATCGTAACAGAAATATCTTTATTCGTATAAAAATAAACTCGGTGAATGTAATTAGAGAATAAGAGATGTACTACAGAACATTTATGTATAGAATCAAAAGAATATAAGAAATGAATACATCTAGAATCCAACGTTGAACCAAGATTAAGTAGTAGATTTCAACTTAAATGTTGTCACCTCTTCATAAGACTAAGATCAATAGTTGAGGAACTCATAAACTGGTATCATAATCGTAAGCTTTTGATGAATGTACTTTTACTCTGTGACTAAAAGTGGAAAGTACTTCCTCAAACTATCGAAGTCAGTAAAGTATTCTACCTAAAGCAAAGACTAGAAATAAAACCCTTCATAAATTGAACTTTGAGGGTCTAAGTTGATGTCTTTAACAGATAAGAACCAAACACTTATAGTTAAATTGAGATGGATCGTTCTAAACACTGAAGGTAAATCATCTATCTGATGTAACTGCTCGTAGGCTATCAAACTAGGAAATAGAATGAAAAAGATTGTGATGTTACAAGTCCCTTTCAGCATTATACCATTTAAATCTTAGGTATTCATCATTCCCGTATCTCCTTACCAAATATGTTCATACTTTATACTTACTACTGTTAAGAAATGTGGCAAATTATGTCAGAACACCATACCCATCAGATTGTAAGTTATCATACTCAGTAATTTATTATTTTTTATTATCAGCTCCAATCATTATTAACAGCTATTCTTTTTCTTAGCAATGATCATTTCATTAAAAAAACATTTTAATACGAATAGTAACAAATGAAGAAAACATTGAAAATAGTTAATATTCCATATGAAAAAAACGGTATTTTTGCACAAAGTTATTTTAGCTACTCATAAGTAGTTAAATTTATAATCTATAATTATTTGCCTTTTTGTAACATAATACCGGGATCATTGAATTTAATATCAACTGTTTTACATTTGTAATTAAAACCAATGTGTTGATTATCATAATTTCATATCTGTGAAAAGTTGGATATTGATCATGAATAAGTAGTATTGTATACATATACTATACTATTTGCATATCGTTAGAATCAGTAGTAATACTTCTTCTTTCTGTTTATATTTAGTAAATTTTCTATTATTATTATTATGTTTTGATTAATTCTATATCTTTATCTATAATACTTAATTCTGATAATAATGTAGATAATGAATAATGATCATCTATATCATTTATATTATTATCATTATTCACATTCATATTTGGCATAGATACACATGTCATAAGTCTTTCATTAATATCCATGGTTACTTGATTATATTGTTTTAATTTAAATAATGTATCATTTTGTCCAATTAAATTTAATATATCATTATTTGTACAAAATAATATAATTTCTGAATAATCTTCAATTATTCCTTGTGCTTTATTAATTTCACCATAAAATATTGGTTGTTTATCTAAATAAATAATCATTTCTTTAACACCATATAATGAATGTTTAATTGATTGATTATAATTCCATATACGTATTAATGCAATTGATGATTGAATCCATTTAGGTAATGTTATTTGAATGAAATGTTTATCATTTAAATTAAATGGTATTAACCACATATGTTTTTTATCACATGTATAATTAATACCATCAATTAAATTAGTTATCTTATTTGAATCATTATGATTATCATCATTATATTCTGACAAAGTATTACCATTTAATGGATAAGATGTAATATGACATAATGTTGTTATATTCATACCATTAGATAAAAATATTTCTATACCAGTTAAACCAACATAATTTAAATTACCCCATGTTGATATAATATCAAATAATAATTGATAACCAAATGGTAATTCTGGTATAGAAAAATTTTTGATAGAATATCTTAATGGATAATTTATTATTGATTGATTGATTAGTTGTTGGTGTTGTTGTTGTTGTTTTTTATATGATTCATGACAAACAAAATAAGGTGAGTTACTGTGGTTACCGTTGTTGTTCATGTTGTTACCACAGTTGTTGTTGCTGTTGTTGTTGTTGCTACCGTCGTTGTTCATATTGTTGTTACCGTTGTTGTTGTTGCTAGTGTTATCGTCGTTGCCATCGTTGTTGTTACTACCGTTGTTGTTGTTACTATCGTTGATGCTGCCCATATTGTTGTTCAATAATAAATTTTCATTTAAATTATTAAATGTTATCAAATGTAATTGTAAATTTGAATTTGTTAATGAATGTTGATCTTGATCAAATTGTTTAAATAAATTGAATGAATTCGAGGTTTGTGTAAATAATTTATTTTTATTTTCATATGGATCAGTCATCTCTTTGTAATGGATTTGATTTAATGATGAATTTAATAATAAATCTTCATTGACATTAGATAATAAATGATATTCAGTAGTATTATTCAGTAGATCATTATCTGCATTAGGAAATGGCCCATTTAAGTCAGTTTCAGTAGTATCCATTAATTGATCCACATTATTATTATTATTATTATTATTATTATTATTATTATGATCTGTATCATTTGGGATCGATTCATTTATAGAAGATGATCCATTCAAATAATGATTAGGATGAAATTGTTCAAATGGTATTATCTCATTAACGCTTAAGATGATACTAGTTACAGAATCTTGAATACAATGATTATTATTATAATTACTACTATTATAATTATTAGTAGTATTAAAATATGGAAGATAATCATTATATAATGTCCGAATCTTATTATTATATATTACATGAAGTAAACATTTTTTAACACTAATATTTAATAAATATGTAATTATAAAATTCCATATATTAATTTGAATAATATCATTCCATTGAAATTGTTTTAATAAATAGGTAAATTGTATACGTAATGGTAAATGTTGAATAGGTGTTAACCACATATCTTGAAAGTCCGTTGTATGAAAGGATGATTTAAATAGATTACCACTAGGAATGAATGATGTATTAGTACTATCATTACTACTATTATTAGTAGTATTGTAAGTAATATTATTACTATTATTAGTAGTATTATGATTGATTTTATAAATCTTTATTGTATGTGGATAAATTTTTATTGTATTATTCATATTATTATTATTTAATAAAACTTCTATACCATTTAAACCAATCCATTTTTTATTACCCCAATTATTAAAAATATCTAAATGAAATATTAACTGATTATCTTGTTTATCTTCATTTTCTTGACAAGTTGATAAAGATGTTTTTAGTAGATTTTTACAAACTACTGATTTTGTATTAGTAGTTTGAAATAATGAATGATTTTTTTTAATTATGGATATTTCATTATTATATAATGGTATATAGATATCACCCCATGATTTACGTTTAATTTTTTTGTTAATATATTTGTAGTACTTTTATTATGATTATTAGTAGTATAATGTTCATAAGATTTATTTTTTAAATATTTTGTAGCTGCATTAAAATATAATTGAAAACCTTTTTCTAAACGTTCTTTCATTAAATCTTCTTTGGTTTTTTGTTGTAATAATTCACGTTGTTTATTATATTGTTTAAGATAATTTAAATAATTTTCATAATTAGTATCCATTTCTTTAACTATCATTTTCATTGTTTTAATGTATCATTAGTATAATATTATGGAATTATTGAATGAAGATTGATTCTTTCTATAATAATAAATAATCAGTGATAATAGACTGAGAGAGATAGAGAGGGAAAGGAGACAATAACATTGAATTCATAGTCATTTATACGAATGGAATGTTAATTTGCCTAAGACGGATATCTACACTAGATTCCCTCCCAGTATCTATTCTTCATGGATTCAACATCGCTCAGATCAAGAACACGTGATTCACCCGACAAAAACGTAAATATATTTCCATATCAAAACTTGACATAATCCAATAACAATCAATCAATAATACTAAATAATAAGGATGGGAGAATATATAATTCATCTGACACTTGTCAGTATATCTACATATTTGACTAAGCAGATAACCAATCATTATCATTCTGGCCAACACATTAGAAACAATATAGAAAAACTTGTAATTGTGTTTCATTATTGTTAGCACTGTTTTATAATATTTTATGTAGAAGATGTTTAGAAAATTAGTTTATCTTCTATGTTCAACAGGAGATAAGCTTTTCTGTTCATGTAGACACCATTCTATACAAATTTATCGATTATTTCAATGTAAGATGGTGGTTGGAGGTGGTCAACAGGAAACCCTGGACCCGGATTTCGTGCTACTTGGCACTCGTCAGCAAGGTGTACCTGTAATCTTGAGGGAACTGATGCTCCCTGGCGGATTCGATCGATAACATTCGATTAACACTAAGAAGGACTTGACACGCATGACATTGATCACCACCCAGTGATCAATCGATTGTGATTATTTCAATGTGTGTGAATGGATTTAGTAAACTTTATAAGTCTTTCTAGGACTAAAATAACACTCATTACTACTTTTACTTGAAGATGATTCCTTATTGTTCTAGAAATATAAACTCCGCCTGTAGCTCCTCCGAATACTACTGCCGGTCCCAAGCCCGGGTAAAGAAGGAGGGTTGAACATGGGGTTAGCGACCTCATCCTAGAAAAAAAACCAACTTGCTAAAAAAGCTAACCAGAAAAAAGTTATTCTATATATATAACACCTTTATATTGAAGAAGAGATCTTCATAATTTTGAGCTCTTTTAATAGATGTTGATAACACTTGACTGATCATAATAAAGTAGACGAATCAGATATTAAAGTCAAATGATCAAAAAAACAGGTAAGCATAGGTTAATAGTTGCCTAAAGGAAATTCTTTTTTCGTAGCGCAAAAGTTAACAGGTGAATTACACGTATATATGTAAGAAGAATTGTGGTGAATGGTGATTTTACTTATGATAAACTTTAAATGTTTCTTTACCATTCATTTCCATCTGTAATTATTTCATTGTACACTACTAGGCTTAATGTTTCGAACTTGAGTTTCTTTAATCCTTAATTTTGTTTTATATTTGCTTGGCGTTGAGTTATTCCTAAATTGCAATACCACTTTGTCACTAAAAAGAGAGTCAATGGGGGTTGTTTAATACCTAGCTCCAATATATATCTCAAAGTTAAATTTAACCTCACCTTCCATAAATCACAATGAAATTTCATATTTACCCTTATGTTTTCCGCTCTGGACTCCACATAAATATATGGCTTCATGACCAATCGCATATATTCCGTCTAGTTAGACAAAAATTGCTAATAGTGGGACAAATTCACTACAGCAGGAGATTATCTCAAAACCTTTAAAGCAGTCCATCTAGGGGAATATACAGACCTCAAAATACAAATATTTACTTGTCATAAGAGCCTTTAATAATAATGTGTCTTGGTCCCTGGTAATTTGAAGTTATATACCAACCAAGAAAAAAATGCCTTTCGAGAAGAAGTGAGATCGGCAAATTTAAAACACTTTTCAGCCAGATCATTAGTTGAATTTCCCCTCCCAATTCTGAAAAGTTTGATTTAGAGTTAACTAGTGAATAAACAAATACTGCTTACTCCATAAATTCATAAAGAACAAAAACAATTTAGAGTTCAAATAAGGATAAGCTACAAAATCAATTCGTAGCCTGCCATTTGGGTTTTGCAACAGTGGTATGAAAACAGGGAATCTGTACTTTTTAAAATAAGGAAGACTCCGATGAAACTTAGTGAAAACCCACAGGGGTCCTTTTAAATACTTAATTACATTCAGTCTTAAAAGAAATTTCAAAAAGAACACTAGCAGGTTAGGAGCTCAGCATGGTACATTGGGTTGTAAACATGTCTCTTCCTCAAGAAAAGATGCAAGTTAAGCGCCTTTGCACGTTTATAGCAACATGATTATGATCTATGTAAATGTATTTCGGCCTAACACGAAGTCAAGTCTAGGGATTTCCTGCTGCCCAAAGTGGAACTCAGTGTCTCTTAGAATAAAACTCGATACTTTCTAGACCACTCAAAATATGGTTTCACTGTCGTTCGCTAAAACCTCTTTGACTTATGCTAATATCAATATATCTAGGTCCCTGCCTAATACAAAATTAGAGTTCTTTGGTAAAATGTGAAAACCATTCGTTCAATACTCCATTTTTACATCTTCCATCAATTGTCTAAAGTTTCATTATTCCTTCATTGCCATAACAATTACACTCAGTTCCCGTTCCCTTAGATTCGATCTCCTCAACATTCTGCTTCCAGGAGTTCCATTTCTGATTATTGTTATAAACTACCTATTTCTGTCGACATAAGTAGCGCACACCACAAACCTTCGAGTAGTAGGAGATATTCCGAAACATTTAGATGCAGATTCAGCTTTTGTTGTACTTATGTTTCTGCGATTCAATCGTAAATATATTCTTGTTTTTTTACTTATCGTATGTTCTTTAAGTAGTGGTTCTCAGTTCGGTCAAAGTCCTAATAGTTTCCGAGCAAACTAACCGTAGAACGTTTCAGATATTTTAAAAGCTACCACTAACGTCATGAGAACATCTAGAGTCAGGGGAGTTACTATGTTTAATAAAGAGGTATTAACTCTACACAACTATCTATGCAGGTTGGAGTACAATGTCTAAACGGGAATGTAACTATCAAATGAATTAATCCAATCTTACTGGTTGAAATCTATTCGGTTATGCGATTGATTCAAATATTTTGCATGTGAATTTTTATACTATGCCTTCGGTTTGTTGACTATCTAGTTGTCTATTTATACATTAGTTATGTTCTGTTAAGACATTGATCTATAAACAGTTGAGATGCACTAAATAAGTGAGAATCTGAGCGGTAAGTAATTGAACTAACTAGCATATACAGTAGTAATAATAAAATTGTAATAGGAACAAATGAACACAACTAGATTGAAGTAATAGTAGTTCTGAAATAACACTAGAATTAGATTTCTTTGTAATAGAATTAGAATAATGTTGACACTGGCACGTAGAATCACTAGCGATTGTATTAAAATAAGACTAAAACTGACAGTTGAGTATTCAGTAATTTTATTACATTGCAGTAAATTTAGGACTGAGTTAGTTTGGTCTGATCTATATTATCAGATAAGCAGATAGTCAATCAAACGAAGGCATATTATAAGGATTCACATATAAGGCATTCAAATCAATTGTGAAACTTGGTCATACGTTAACCAACAAAATCTGGTCAGCTTATTTAATGGTCACAATCCACGACAGAGGTTTTATTCTGAACTGAATGTCTGTATTTCTATTTTAGGAAAACTGTTAGTGACCCTAGTTCCATTGCTGATGTGGGTCCAGTTTGAAAAAAGACGTCCAATAATATCATTAATTGGATACATATGCGACTTCACTTCGTTATCGTGTATTTAATTATATCCCACTTCGATTCTGTATAATACTACCGCATGTATCACTTAATTCAATTAATAATACATACATCCAGGAACATTAGTATACAAATTCCCAATTAATCCATTCGCTCTCAGTCATCGAATTGTAGAAAACGGAAATAGCAAGTATTCCGACATATTAAAAAACAAATAAAAATCGACCTTCTATAAACTACCAGTTACCAATGCTCACCGTGTAAAGTTGGTCGGATGGTTGGGACTTTCCTCATATTAAACCCCACAATCAGATGCATGCGTATAACAGTTCGCTTCTAGACTGAAAGTATGTTCATCGTAGAGGTGTAGTGTCTAGATGTCTGTAGAAGATAATAGGAATAGGAAAAACTTCGCTTGTGACTTATATTCATATAGAATACATCAATATTTTAACTAAAGCAATCGACATTAGTTAGCAATGACACAAGTGTAACACTGAGACAATCTGAAAATAAAATCTAAAAGTCATTTAAATAAGATTTCGAACGGTTTACATGCTCACATTGTTGAATACCCTTTAAAGTCTCATAGCATTTTATCACCATAGCACTGTACTTCAATGTCCAATAGCCTTCAAAGAATTTTTGCATCTGTGAAACATAAAAATCAACTTTGAAAGCCTTGAAATATATCTTTACTGTTGTTTATACGGTGACTGACAAGTCTAAAGGCCTAAGTAAAGCTTTTGCTATGTTCAGGATTAAAATAAATAGGGTAAGTGATGCTCTGAATATTGTTGACAGGAAAGTGGTTAAGCACACTGGAAGTTATATGGTGTACCACATATGTGTCCCAATCATCTTCACGATGTGTCTCGTTTCGTGAAAGTCGGATATTAGGACAGAAAAACGTTCTATTCCCCGTATAGTTTGATAATGATCGTCCGAGAACAAATGACGAAAAGACGTTGGTGGTTGGGTGAAATTGCGTAATGTAACCCAAACAAAGATAGATTAGGGTTATGGTTCCAGCAGCACTACAGGTGAAATCAAATATAAATAAGCGTTTTAAGCATTAAGGACTATCAAGAACGGGCTATGAGCTAGACGAATTCTAGTGTTCTAACTCCATTATATCAATATCTTCAAGTTCAGATTTGACAGCAGGTGTTCTTCTAAAATGTGATTCGAATCCTAGTTTGTTCGGAGCTGATATTGGTAAACTGAATGCCTTACTTAGAAAAAGCTCTATGTAACCTACTCCAAAAGTTCGAATCGCTCAACTGAAGTGTGTCTATAGAAATGCATCTAACAATATATTTCAACTCCAGTGTCTTTGAAGTGCTGAAAATGACGTATCATGATGAATGTACTGAAACGGAACTCGTAAACGGCAAGTGGCTTCCGTAATGGGGTTTCGAGGATAATATGTGTGGAACAATCCGCCAATATCAATCACAGTCTTTGCCACAATAACCTGGACATTTGGTAGTGTGAACATCATTTAAATACAAAGAGGTCTTAAGGCGATGGAACAAGAAAAAAGGTGCCACTTTAAACAGGATGGAATACAATCTTGGCGTAGTGTGGAACTTAGTGGGTCTGAATTCAGCTGACCTATTGTTCTTTTGTTTCGAGTAGATTACCATCATAGTGGAGCAATGCTGGCCATCTATATATACAAAGGTGATATCATGGTGCAGTTTTTCAAGTACTGGTCAATTTTCTAGCTATACATAGCGGCAAAGATCAAGTGGTTTTTCGGCTAATTGGTACGGACATCGGACTTCAATCTGCTATGTCCTATTGGTTTAAAAGACTAGGTAGTACTCGACAACGCCCAGTGATTTAACCGTTCATGTTATTGTTCTTTTGTGGTCCAGAATACCGAATTCGACTACTCGACCATTCGGAAGATTCAAGGTCCCTCTGAAATCTCTACTATTCTAGGAAATCTGCATAGGATTTACGATCGAGCCATCATAAACGTTAGCACTCATGACATCAGTAAGTACAGAGTGCCATCCGTAAATCGTGCTGTAGCATTTACCTTATATTCTCCATTTAAACAAAGAACATGGTATCCGATCTATTATACGGTTAAGACATTCGTTCCCATTTGCACCATGCAACCAACAAGACAGACCTAATGTTAAGGTTTTTCCCAGGACGTTAGATAGCCCAACTCTGGAACTATTCAAAGCCATTTCTAGCGTTTATTTGTAACGTCCTCTGGAAAAACCCCTGTATCATATAGTGTTACCTGAAAAACGATGCCACACAGAGTGAGTTTAAGGGAGATCAGCCGAAACGATGCTTAGAATATAGAGTAAACCTTAGTCCAACTATGGTTTATAATTTTGCAATCTACGCAGAACGGGATGACTATGATGGATGTATTTATGATGTACCGTATGGCTTATAATTCCTTTCCTCTTGATAGGTTATCTGGATGACACTGCATTAAACTGCGTTCGATTAGATATCCACCTTGGGATAGAACATGGAAGAGATAGCCAAAATATTCGCGCGAGCTTCTTCATAGTTGGAATCATTGAATTGTGGGATTCCCCAATGGAAACTATAGTCGCTTTGCCTCCTGCTGAATATGTCAAAAAAAGTTTTTCTAAAACTTTAATTTTACAACTATCCAACGGCTAGCTACGAAGGTAGCTCATGAATTCAATCTGAGGCTTTAAGGCTAAGGCTTAAATCAATTGATTTCAACGCCATCGAACATAGACGACTAGTAAGCGGCCTCCCAACGACTTTGAACATCGTAAGGAACTGTAGATATCTTTCCGAATATGAATTGCTACACAGTTCTAACACCAAGCCCACTGAAAACACTCGTATAGTGAAGATATTACTCAATATGTCAGACCAAAGACAAACTAAGTCTTAGTGCTGCAACACATATGGTGGCGATGCACCATCGACTGCATATTGGCATACTGTGCATTTCCACACTCTTTCCAGAATTAATTTCTTAGCCCCAACTTTGAAACCACCCAGCTAATTCGTCTAGATCAGCTTGGAGATCAAAATGATCAACATCACTGTTGATCATTCTACAGCTTCTAAAATCATCTGCAAAGAATAATGTCTTTTACTTATTCAGTCGCGTTGATTCATTGACGTAGAAAAGTTGGTGCCTTAAGGTCTATCACCTTTGACCGGCCGCCACTCAGAAGGTATTCCATTTACTGTTGTCCTCTGTTTTTGGCCACGGAGGAAGTCTCTTGCCCATTCTTGTACGGCACCAGTTTTTCCAAAGTTCGATAGCTTCTGCGTAAAACTTAAGCGAGAAACCCTATCAAACGCTTTGCTGAAATCTGTGGATATAACATCGACAGACAAATCGTCATCTCGGCGTGCTTTCTAATCCTCTCTTGCAATAAGTAAAGTAGTTAAGCATGAGTGCTTATCTTGAAACCAGTGTTGCTCAGGAGATAACCGATTGTAACGTAATATATGACTTTATTACCTAGTCCGGATTATTTTTTCGAATAATCTAAATACTGTGCTGGTTAGACTGACAGGCCAGTAGTTGGATACGGTCAGTCTCTGTCCCTATTTAAATATAGAACAAACTTTAGAATTCTTCCAATCCCTAGAGGGTTAAGTTTGTGAAAAGGATACATTGAACAACATCGTTAGATTCATAAAAGATATAACAGGAGTCATGCTTCTCAGAAACTCAAAGTATTCTATTTCTACTCAGATGCAGATCGCAGAGTACAAGTAATTTAGTGTTTACAACAACCAGGATTTGAGGTTTGAATTTGAGCATAGAAGTGCGCGAGGAGTTGAAGACGCTACAGGAGTTATAACTTTTCGTGCTCCAATGGCCACTACGCGCATTCTTAGATCCAGTATCAATCGTAATTATGGACTACGCTTTAAACATACATTGCCCCCTTTACCGTATGAACCTAACGCTTTGGAACCTGTAATATCAGGAGAAATTATGCAGTTGCATCATTCTAAACATCATGCCACATATGTTAATAATCTCAATATTGCTGAGGAACAGTATGCTGAAGCTATCTCGAAAAGTGATGTTACAAAAATGATCTCTCTTCAGGTCAGTCCACATTTGTTTATCGCCGTGGTATAACTAGTAGTGTAAAATGATATAATCTTTGGAGGAGTATTTGTACGTTTGAATGTCACTTCAAATGGTTATTACGTAGTGCTTCATACTGTAATATAAAGATGTGTAGGTTTTTTCACGTTTTAAAACCTAAATCAGTTGTGTAGACATCCATACACATGACAGGTCGTCGACTTTAAAAGTTGCAATCATTAAGTACTTTGCTAGAAACTACCATGAAATTCGATATGACCGAGTCTTCCCTTTCATCTAAATGATGAAGTCACGTGGGCAGTGACTTTTGTAGGTTCTTGTTTCTTATCTATTCGATAATAATAACTAATCGGGACACTAAACATTTTGGCACTAATTAGTTATAATATATGAGGGTTTCTTTAGGTTTTGTGCTGTTTACTCTACACATTTTTTACTGTTTTCAAGCTTAAGAACACAGTTTTAAAAATACTACTGCATATCTGTCCCTAGAAAAACAAATTACGCCTCACACTCAAAGTTAAACTATTACTGATGTATTGTTTTTTATCTGACTGGAATATATGAACAATGCTATTTTTTGGTTTACTACATCAGTCCTGTAAAAAGTCAGAAATTGCTTGTCTAGATTCACAATTTCACTTCAATGTATTACGGTGACGTCAGGAAGGACTTGAAAAAAAATAAAATCTCGATGTATTTTTATGTACTACGTCACCTATTCATGTGGTATGTGTCAAAATAAGTACTTGGTTGTATAGACCATCGGTTAGTAATTGTAAGAAATGAGAGAAAATATAAGCCGATTATTATCTATTTTTCAGAAACCATAAGCAAGCAGTAACGAGACTAAAAACTTTATTTTTCATTTGTTTTTCCCTCACCTTCCTTTTTATTCTGTATCGTTCCTGGCGTGTTTTCTATGAATGGTCCACTATCTTCGGTTGAAAATCACTCGATCCTCCTGTTATACCGAGTAACAAAATCACACTCTTAGTTCTCTTCATTGTTAAGGTTAAATTTCTAGTTATGTATACATTCGATATGCTCTGCGCACCATATACTTTAAGGCATATGAACGGCATGGAGTAATGAGTAATTGCAGTGTTACATCGGAGAAGTGTTCTTATCAAAAAACCAAATCGTTTGTAGAGTGATAATAACATATAATAACCTTCAACTGAATTCGCATCTCAATGTAATATCGCTTTTTAGGTCTCACAGAATTTTATTTGTTCAAGGACTTGTGGTAGTAGCAACTCGTCATACATTTAGACGTTCGACATAGAACTCCATCACACAGACTTGTCACTATCATTATGTTGCTTCTACACTTAGTTTACCAATAGTCCGTCGAATATTTAAGTGTTCTGACCACAATATTCTTCTAGGTACTCATTTCCATGGAATGAAAGATAGCTGATAAAGTTTAGGTACAAACACGAGAGTTGCACTTGAGATTGGCTGTTATTTTTCGAAGTTTTCAGTTACCCTAGTGAAAGTTCAGTTTCCAAAGCATTTTTGGATCCCTTTCTAATGCTCAGCTTTATCTAGAAATTAAACAGCCGAGAAATGTAAATGTCGTATTGATCTTTGTCAACTATTAGTCCGTACTGAAATCGGTAAAAAGTTGATTTCCAAGTTAGAAACGAGGACTTTAGTGGAAAAAGTTCTAGTCGGAAACATGGTTTTGCCTTGATAAAGAATATATAAGCTGGTAGTAAACTATAGAATGACATACTAATAGCTAATATGTTTGGCTTATTAGTTTATACCTTCATTAAATATATCGTTCTGCACTTCCAAACTTACTCCCTCACGTCCTAAATTATGTGTATCAAATCCCTCATCTAACAAACACAAGTTTATATACTCAGCTTTGCACCATTATGTTAACAGGAGAACTGAATATACTACTCAGCTGCTTCTTTTTGTTGATAAGCTTGACGAATCGAAACAGTTTCATGTGGTACTGAACCCCGTTAACTATGTTTAAATTCGCTGCTTTTCCAATATTCTTAAATGTTTTCTATTAGCCAGCACTCCGTTTTAATGGTGGAGGACATATCAATCACAGCATCTTTTGGCATAATCTCAGTTCTAATGGTGGGGGTGTCCCTACGGGCAGTTTGGCTAACGCTATTAATGATGAGTTTGGATCATTTGATAACTTCAAGTCAAAGCTGTCTACTGCCACAATTGCTATCCAGGGTTCGGGTTGGGGTTGGCTTGGATATAATCCCAACACAAAGCGTTTACAAATTGCCACATGCGCTAATCAAGACCCTCTTGAAGGGACTACGGGTAAATCCTAAGACAATTTTTCCACATCTGCATTATACTGTTTGGTTAACTAATAAGCTTCAGAGTATAAGGAATATAGTTTTTCTGTTATCTAACTCCTAGTTGTAAAGCTGTGGTTTCAACTTGCGTTAAAACTTCACTTCCTATATTACAGTTTGTACAAATTTAGTATTTATTGTATTCACAAAACAACTGTGAATTAAAGTCAATTAACCTAAAAAATCTGTATTCGCAGTTAAAGCACTCAATTCTCAGCTGTTAACTTTCAGTTCTCAAGTTCTCTTTACCTATTTCGTAATGAGCAGTTGGATGGTATCAAAACTTCAGTCAGTCAGTTTTTTTTTGGTATCAAAACTTGGGGACTGATTGTTGTTTATGATTTAAACTTACAAGAATAATCAAGTCATTTCAATGATACTATCATTAGATATTACAAGGTAAGATAAGCTCTTATAGCCTTCAAACGCCCTGGTACGCCCGAGGGTAGGGAGAGTTCGCTATCCCTCTCGAAATGCTCCCGCATAGACATGAGTATAAATCTACCGCCAAGGAAGTCCTACTCACTGCTTTCCAGCGGAAGGTATGCTGATTACAAAATTGAAAGGACGAAAAGTGAATGTTCAGGGCTTTAACCGGGTTGTGGATACGGCGGATCCCAGTTAGGGGAGTTGAGAAACCCTGATTCCAAACCAATGCTTATAGACACTCGGAGGACAAATGGCGTATGAACCTCTTGATGGTTACGGGATACCGTGTGATTGCGCCTCCTAGCGATGCTCCACTGCTTTGTAGATTAGAAACCTAGGTCTAAGGCTCGGAGTCTGGCCTCCTAAGAAAATCACGTGTTTCGGTATGGGCACCTGGAGAGTATCCCAGCCCTCACACAAATCGAATGATGTTTGACGCATATGTATTTGGTGCCCCCGTGTACCAATGTGTATGTATTTAAATAAATAAATAAAGCTCTTACAACGTAGCACTACCGAATCCTACGAATAATGACAGGTACTATAATGTAAACATAAAAAATATCTTAGCGCCATCAATCTATCACGGGTAATAATAACGTGAAAGTGATCTTAAACTCATTTGTGTAGAAATTTTTGACTAATACTAAAAATCTTTATTAACATCTTCATTTGAAACTTAATATGTATCTATTGAATTTTATTAAAAATTATAGGTTTAAAGCCTTTACTTGGAATCGACGTTTGGGAGCATGCATATTATCTTCAGTACAAAAATGTACGTCCAGACTATGTAAAGGCGATTTGGGATATCATAAATTGGGGCGATGTAGCTAAACGATTCGATCTCAGTAGGAAATAATTTAATTGTACTATCGTTTATCCAACTCAGAACAGTTTCATCATCTCTTTTTGTAAGATTTTCAGCAGTAGTTTCTTTATATCCTGCTATTTCTACATCACAGTGATTATTTCTCAAAAAATAAATTAATCTACAAGTAAAGTGTTTCAGTTGACTTTTCTTTTCAGAAATAAGTTTCGCTAGTTGCCTACGTCATACTTGTTTGCCGACCGTTGCTGCTACCTTGACGTGGTGGTCGGGCTTGCCTATCGTGATGATCCAATCGAGCTATGCTGGCTGGAACAATCGTTCCTCGAGGTCCTACCATGCCAGACAGGTCGGTTGAAGAGCGGTGAGACTAAAAGCAGCAAGCCCAAGGTCCGAAGGCGAAGTCGTACTGCTGACTGTACAGAGGTGTGAAAGCAGTAAGGTGTTTCCTTCAGACAACCAGCATGACAGCGATGCTGCCTTCCCACAAGGAGGGGTGGGGTTAGAAAAGGTCGACCCTAAAAATGCACACCTCGCCTTATCCCACGGATATCCGTCTCCGGCGGTAAGGTTTTTTTTGAAGAACGGAGCTAACACAAAAACTACCCACAAAAAGGTCGTGTGTGACCGACCTCAAGCAGATGTCACTTGGGCACTGCGGTCACGCTCTCAGGTCATTAAGACCACTTCTAACCCAATTTCCTTTTCAGGTACCTCTAGAAGAATCCTTCCACGGTGTGGGCAACCGGGAAGTGATAACTGCCCTCATACCTCTAACAACACTCAAGACCACTGTATTCATAATCAATCTCCTTCTTCAATTCCTACTATTCCTTCTACCTTGACTTTCAACACTAAACTTCCTCTCTCGGTTTCCTCCTCAAGTGTCACCATGGCCAACGATTCTAGTGCGCGAAACGCTGTCCCAGGTCTACTAAAACCTCGCTCCAAACTACACATTAGAGCCTTCAACGTACGTACTTTAAGTCAAATCGGTCAACAGGCCTCCTTAGCTAAAACCTTAGAGTCGCGTACCATTGATGTATGCTGTGTCTCCGAAACACGCATACAGGATCCTAGTGTGGTCATTCACTTGACCTCACCTCGCCAAAATGGACAGCCAACGAAATACACCCTCCGTGTATCTGGCGACCCGTTGGCTAGTTCTCGTGGACTTGCAGGTGTAGGTATAGCACTAAGTACAAGGGCAGAACAGGCACTATTAGAATAGATCCCCGTTAACAGTCGCCTGTGTGCTGTCCGGCTAAATGGATCCGTAAGAACTCGGAAGGATAGGGACACACGTCGTTGCCTTTTCGTCGTTTCTGCCTACGCTCCCACTGACTGCAGCCATGATGAGGTGAAAGATGACTTTTACAGAAAGCTCTCTGAGCTTCTTCAGAAAGCTAAGCGCTCAGACATAGTAGTCGTAGCGGGTGACTTTAATGCCCAGGTAGGCAGCTTAAATCAAACAGAAAGACATCTAGGTGGGTGTTTTAGTATTCCGGCTCAACGAACCGATAATGGTGATCGTCTGTTGCAACTATGCTCAGACAATCGTTTATTTTTGGCAAGCACTAATTTTAAACATAAGGAGAGACATCGTCTAACATGGCGACCACCTGCACCAAACCAACGATGGACTCAAATAGACCATATTGTCATCAGTCATCGTTGGAGAGGCTCAATAGAAGATTGTCGCTCGTATTGAAATACTTGTTTAGACTTTAATCACGCTTTAATACGAGCGCGCATTTGTCTGCGCCTCAATGGACGCAGGAAAAGTACACTAAGAAGACCCATTAGGATTGAACTGGAGGACGAGAAAGCCAAATGCGAATTCCAGAAACAACTGAGTTCACATCTAGGCAGTTCTGTAAACGAGACTGACCAAGATGCTGCTTGGAAAGACATACGAACAGCTGTGGAAACAACAGTAACATCTATTAGTCATTTAAACCATAGGGCTCCAAAAAACCAATGGATTTCTTCTAAGTCTATTTCACTGATGGATTCGCGTAAACTCATACCATCAGGCTCTGAACATGACGAAGAGCGTAAAGAAATTAGATCTAGGTTAACTAAAAGTCTAAGGAACGATCGTGAGCAGTGGTGGGCAACGAAAGCAAAAGAGATGGAAAAGGCAGCGGCTGTAGGCAACTATTCAGACTAATAAAAGAAACTGGAATTAAGAAGTCAAGTGTAAGTGAGACGATCTCGGAAAAAGATGGAGCCCTTATCTGCTCTCTACCCAAACGTTTAGAACGATGGGCGGAACACTTTAAGGAGCAGTTTAGCTGGCCTTCAGCTACTGCACAACTACCCACTATTCCTAGAAAACCTGAATGGAACATTGAAGTAGGCCCCCCGACCCTACTTGAAGTTCAAAAGGCTATAGGTAATCTGAAACGAGGAAGAGCAGCTGGTCCTGATGGATTGGCTCCAGAGGTCTTTAAATATGGTGGTCCAATTTTAGCGATTAGGTTGACTAATATTCTGGCTAAAATCTGGGAGACGGATGTAATCCCATCCGACTGGTCACAATCACTGATTGTCCCAATATATAAAAAGGGGTCAAAATCATCCTGCGATAACCATAGAGGGATTAGTCTGACTAACATAGTATCTAAAATACTAGCCTCAATAATTATCAGGCGCCTAACTAAAACTCGTGAACTGCAAACACGAGAAAATCAGGCTGGCTTCAGACCTGGTCGTGGCTGTATCGACCACATATTCACCATTCGTCAAGTTTTAGAGCACAGACATGCTTATCGGCGTCCGACAATGATAGTTTTTCTTGACTTGAAAGCAGCATTTGACTCTGTAGACCGAGAGGTTCTGTGGCAGTGTCTGTCATTGAAAGGTGTACCTGAGAAGTACATAAACCTTGTGAAGGCTCTTTACTCGAACACTATCAGTCGAGTGAGAGCTTATGGCGAACTGTCATATGATTTTACAACCTCAAGTGGTATCCGTCAAGGCTGTCCACTATCCCCCTTTTTGTTTAACTTCATTATAGACCTGTTGCTGCAAATGACACTCTCGTCGACTGAGTTTACAGGAATTGATCTCCTACCAGGGGGACCACTAAGCGACTTAGAATACGCAGATGACATAGTCTTGTTTGGTGAAAACGCTGACAAAATGCAGAGTCTTCTGTTGGAACTCAGTAATAATGCCAGGATGTTTGGGATGCGTTTCTCCCCATCCAAATGTAAATTGTTACTCCAGGACTGGCCTGCGTCAACACCTGAACTAAGGATAGGGAGTGAAGTAGTCGAACGCGTCGACAACTTCACTTATCTTGGAAGTCTGATCAGCCCTAATGGGTTGGTGTCTGACGAAATCTCAGCACGGATTCAAAAAGCTCGTTTGGCTTTTGCCAACTTACGTCACCTATGGCGAAGACGAGATATCCGTCTATCAATTAAGGGACGAGTATACTGCGCAGCAGTTCGCTCTGTTCTACTTTACGGCTGCGAAACATGACCATTAAGAGTAGAAGATACTCGTAGGTTACTAGTATTTGACCACAGATGCCTTAGAAATATTGCTCGCATCTGCTGGGATTACCGAGTAAGTAATAGTGAGGTTAGACGCAGGGTATTAGGTAACGATGGTAAATCAGTTGATGAGGTGATAAATCTTCATCGACTGAGATGGTTGGGCCATGTGTTACGTATGCCTGAACACCGATTACCACGACGCACTATGATGACTAGTATTGGGGACGGTTGGAAGAGAGTTAGGGGCGGCCAAACCAAAACATGGCATCAGTGTTTGAAGTCACTAACTTCTAGCCTGAGCCATGTTGGCAGATGCAGACTACCTGGTTGGGGTCCGCGTGACTATCGTAATAAATGGTTGGAGACTCTAGGTGACATGGCTCAGAATCGGTCACAATGGCGTAGGTGTATACACTCTTTATCTTCCCTTAAACCTTGAGATTAAAATTGCTTCATATCTCTCTTCCTTCCTGTACTATATCCTTATATACTACCACCACTAAATTAATTACTTCTATGAATCCGGTGTTCATCTTGTTGTGCTAAAGAGGTATGGCAACTTGGACCGATGCATATATGTGCCTGGTCCTACGTTGTAGCTGACTGACTGTTTGTCGAAGAGATACTTAGTTACTTCACAGTTACTGTCAGTAGATGTTGGAAGAAAAATAAGTAAATATTAATAGTCACTCCTGAATTTCATAGCAAACGCTCTCAATTTCACTGAGGCTTACCAGTCACTCTGATAGTTAATTATTTGAAATGCCCTTATGCATAGGTCTAGAGTGAGATGGAGATTCCAAATAACTAGTTTTTCTTCAATGAACTTGTGATTCACAGGACCTGATATTGATATGCAATCTTGTTATACATGAGCCCAACCGGCTATGTGAATGAAAAAACAAAGTGAGAGATCTTATTGATTAAGCCAAATTGACTGTATACGTCTGCCTCTTGGCTTATCATCCCGTAAAAATGAAACATGTTTTTTTAGCCAACTACGTATACTTGTTATACAGTCGATTTCTGGTCGACCAAGTTTATCGGTACTAAATTCAGACAACATATCAGGAGACTTATAATTAACAAAATACGTTGAAAACCCACCTTTTTGAATAGCATTTTTGCAAGGTTTCTATCGTGTCTTATAAAATAAGATATTTAGACCGAAGAAGTCTTTCATCTGGTTTTGTCAAGTGCGACAATTTGTCCACAGCATCGTCATCCCTTGGTCTATTGAAAACACAGATAATTGCTTTTTCAAACGAAAAGGTGGACTGAACTGTTATGAACGAAAACCTAAATGCCTGTTGTGTATTTAACAGTTGTCAATTACAACATACTATAAATAGCCTAGATAGATTTCTTCTGTATGAAAACAGCAAAGAAACAGGACAAGCTATTAGTCATCTCCATGCTTACTCGCGATACCCGAAAAGTGCTCCGAAAATAATTGGGAATCTGCAGTTCATGCGCGTCTCCTTTCATAGATTGTGTTTCACAGACATAGGAAAATACAGGGCGATTCGCTACCTTGTCTAACCCCAAGAAAGTTTATACTTTTGTTATTAAACGATAATGAAAAAATACAGTAATTTCAAATTACAAAGATTTTAGAATATATTTATTTGTACAATACGCTTAAAGTATTTACACGTCAGGGATTGTTAATTTATACATGTCACCATCATAACTCAGTTGGCCTTCTCTAATTTTCTTATCTAGAAATCGGCGTAGTTCATCTCTGTTGAATCCTAAACTGGATGTAGAACCGAGTGCGAACATTCTAAGCATTGAATGGATTCGATCTAATGACGAACTTCCAAGGTTGGTTAACATAGCAGTGATATAAGACCAAAATACCTAAATAAGAGTAAATATAAAATCGAAACAAAAATCTAGCTATATATATAGTTTAATGTACCATCAGTCAGTCATAAACAATGCAATAACGTGCAAAAATATGCGTTGTTACACATGAACTAAAGTACAGTACATTTTATAAATAAATGATCACCTGTTATCAATATCCACCTTTTTATGCATTGAGACATGTGAGTTCTGTTTCAATGATAACCAAAGTAGGATGACCATCCTTAACTGGAAATAGTATCCTAGTTGTATTTTAAACTGAAATCTATTTTTTATTGAGTACTATTTCTGTCCATTTATTTATTGATAGTACTGCCACTTTCTCTTTTGATTCTTTATATTATTACTTCATTTGTGTGGCACAGGTTTTGTGACTTATTAGTACCAGGATTTATGTGCTTAAAATGAAGTAAAACAAATATTCATAACAAGAACAATTATCCCCCTCCCTTACCTCTTATTACCGAAACGTATCTAACTTATTTAAGAGCAATTTTGACGCATTATAAATCAAATATCCAACCTTTTGTATGAGGGGACAAGTACACATAACCAATAAACACGGACAGTTGTGTTCATAATCATTATACAAGCACCAGCCCCCAAATGCCCTGGTACAGTCGAGAGAGCGGAGAGTCCGCTCTCCCTCTCGAAATGCTCTCATAAGGCCACGCGTATATAGCCTCTGCCAAGGAAGTCCTACTCACTGCCTTCTCGTGGCATTACTGTTGTTTACAAAATTGACAGGACCCGGCGCTTTAACCGGGTCGGTAGACACGGAAAGTTTACTTAGAGGAGTTGGAAAACCCTGATTCCAAACCAGTGGTGCACATGGGCTCCAGTATTCTGAAGGAACAAATGGCGTATGAATCAATCGTTGGTCACCGGCTACCATAGGATTGCATCTCCTCACTATGTTCCACTGTCTTGTGGATCAGACCTTTAGGTTAAAGGCTTCGAGTGTGGTCCCCTAAGTAAACTTCCTGCTTCGGTTTAGGCACCTATGCATTATCACAGCCCTCACACAAATCCAATGAGATTTGTGCGGCGCATATATACCTGGTACTTCCTTGTACCAATATTTATGTGTTCAAATAAATAAAATAATCGCCACGAAAGTCCTTGAGAACTCATACGGGATATAGGTTAAGGCACTGAAAGATAACCTTTAGCTTCTCTAAACAAACTGCTGGATTTTAGTACTGTCAAATGAAAGCAACGATTCATAGGGACGATTTACAAGTAAAAAGCAAACGCACATGCAACAAAATACTCTTATTGATATTTTACAGCCTGATAAGTTAGAATGGTTTGTTAGTGAATTTCGTTATTTGAAGATTATTTTTATATGCCACCGGAGATCACATTCAATTGTTTCTAAATGATTGAATTTCTAGTATGAAAACGAGTACAAGTCGTTTAAAACATACAAAAGTACTTTCGGAATTTGATGGTTTAAAAAGCACCATACTTCTGAAGAGTGGTCGCTAATTGGTGAGGTTTGATTTCACTAATTATATTATCAAGCAGTTCGACGACGTTGAGGTAACATAAGCTAATACCATCGTCATGCATTTCTAATAACCTTACTTTACGATGTCCTCAAATGGTGCAATTAAAAAGGGATAACAAAAGTGAGCTATTCTATCTAACAAGGTTGTTGGTCGATTTAAAGTTTATTTATTTAAACACATATTGGTACAAAAGGGCACCAGATACATATGCGCCACACAAAATAATGAAAGTAGGAAGAGAAAGGATGAAAAGATAAGGGGGACTGAAATGTACAACCAGAAGACTCTTCCAGTTAAGAAAGTTAGAACCACTCTTTATGTAGAAAGTAAAAGAAGGTTGCAGCAGGATCGCCACTGGCTTCTATTCTGAGCCATATCTGATAACGTCTCTAGCCAGTGTTGCACCATCTCTCGGACCCCAACCAAGGAGTCGTGAAGGACCAACAGAAGCTAGCCCTTTGCAGCTTTCTTTCATGCCACGACACCATGTCATACACTGACCTCCTCTCCGCTTTTTCCAACCAGTCCCAGAGTCGGCAAATAATGAACGGCGTGGAAGTCTCTGGGACGACATTCGTAAAACATGTCCAAGCCACCGAAGTCGGTGTTTCAAGATGGTGACACCAATTGAGTTATCGTCTCTGCGCCCAAACACAAGATGCCGAACCTCTGCATTACTAACATGATGTTGCCACTGTATGTCAGCAATCCTTCGGAGACAACGATGATCGAACACAGAGACGTCTAACATCCTCAACTCGGAGAGGCCAGGTTTCACAAGCATAGAGCAAAATTGCTCTCACCGACGCGTTGTAAATCCGACCTTTTACAGCCAGCCTAACATCACGAAGGCGCCAAAGTTGGCCCAGATTGGCATAAGCCGCTCTGGCTTTCATTATACGTGCATCAATCTCATCACTCACGCCACCACTAGCACTTATATAGCTACCTAGATACACGAACTTCTCAACTACTTCAATCTCCTCACCATCCAGGGTGAGTACAGGATGAGGATCCTGCCAGTCTTGTAGGAGTACTTTGCACTTGAAGGGTACAAAGCACATGCCGTACCTGTGGACACTGATTACCAACTGATTAAGTGCGGATTGCATGCCTTGGGCATTATCGCACAGTAAGACAATATCATCCGCATACTCGAGGTCGAGAAGTCGTTCTCCAGGCAGCAGATCCACACCGCCATTACTTACATCCATCAGAGCTGTTTCCAGAATGTCATCGATGGCAAAGTTGAGATCGGGCAACCCTGCCTAACCCCACTGCTCGAATGAAACAAGGGAGAAAGGTGGTTGTATGCCCTCACTCTGCCTGAGGTGTTCGTATACAGGGCCTTTAAGATGTTAATGAACTTCTCAGGCACACCCTTCTTCAATAGACAATCCCAGAGAACAGTCCCGTCCAACGAATCGAAGGCAGCCCTGATATCAAGAAACACTACGATTGTTGGCCTGCGATAAGTATGACGGTGTTCAACATTTGGCGGAGGGTGAAGATGTGATCAATGCATCCTCGACCAGAACGAAAACCAGCCTGCTCCTCGCGAGTCAGTCGTTCTCGGGTTTTAAACAACCTACGAAGAATGATAGAAGCCAATAGTTTGGACGCAATCGAAAGTAGACTTATCCCCCGATAGTTATTACAGGAACAACGTGAACCCTTTTTAAAGATAGGGACGACTATTGACTCATTCCAAGATGTTGGAACACTTTCTTGCTCCCAAACTTTTGCAAACAACACCGTCAGTTCCTTAGCCAGAAAGTCATCACCATCTTTAAAAAGAGCTGGAGGTAAGTCACCTGGACCCGGTGATTTGTAGCGCTTCAAGAGTTGGAGTTCCTTGCGGACTTCCGCCTCGTTTGGTGGATCAGTCGTCACCGGCCATGGGGGGCAGGACAAACTGGTTGATGTTGCCGGAGCAGCAGGCCAGTTGAACTGCCCTTCGAAAAATTCCGTCCATCGCCCAAGACGTCGAGAGATGTTAGTGATTGGCATCCCGTTATCCTCGTAAATTGTTTCACTCACACCAGATTTCTTGCTGCCAGTGGCTCGGATGGTGGATTTAAAGGAAGGATGGTGGATAATTGCACAGCTTAGTGTGTTTTGTGTATAGGATATTTATTAAAAGACACTACCCTTTGAAAGGTGAGTCAGTAGCGCAATGATTTTTTATTAAAAGTACATGAATGTGTATTCAAAAGAAATTAATCTTGTTCAATATTCTATTTAATGGTACTAATACTGTTCTATTGAATGTGTCGATACCTTTCAAACAAGTGTCACGTAACTATGTAAACTAATGAACCAATATGAAATATAATAGGAATGTTATAAAACATATTGTACAAATTAATATGAGTATTGTTAGTACTTACTTGTAATTCTTTCTCTTTACGTTCTCTAACACTGGCTACAAGTAAATCAGAATGATCTTGTGATGTAAACATCCAATTATTTGTTGCTTCAATAGTGTTTGAATCAATTTTCTCAGGGTCATTTGAATAATTTTTACTGTTTAAATTACTTAACTTTTCATTTGAATTAGTAGTATCTGTCTCGTCACAAACTTCATAGATTTCTAGATTTTCACTAGTAAAATTTACATGGTTATTACTATCATGTGAATCAGATAGTCGTATAAATCCTAACTGAATAAACATATATAGACTAGTACGAATAGTGGAGATTTGACTTTCTAGTTTCTAAAGGAATTTAAAAAAACGGGAGGTGGGGGATAAGTGCTTCAACAATAGTAACGAAAACAAGTAAGTGGTGTATAAATATAACTAAACAATCAATAAATTAGACTTGTATATTTGTTAGCAGGATAGGACCCTGAATATGCCATTTTCTAGTCAGACTCAGATCGTGATAAGTTGTTGATTAATCTATGCACTCAACCAATCAGTGTTGTTGGACGAATCGAGATTTCTTGGTCAATTTTACCTAAAATGTAATGTTTTTACTACTATATCTGTAACGACTTAAAAGTAGATTGAAATGTCATTATCGTGACTTCAGCTAAATACTGATTACTACAACTGGTACGACTGTTTATTATAACTGAGGAATAACTGCTACTTTTTGGAATGGAACGAGACTCCTATGCTGACCCAAAGAAAAGGACAAGACTGCAGAAGAAAACTGATCTATTCAGTAACCACAGTAACCACTTACGCATAATTTTGAATGGTCGCCCAATCAATAATTTGCCCAACTACCTAATGTGTGCGAAAACAAATTAGCTGACTTGACTTATCAGTGAATTATCTATTTTTGTTTCCTCGTTCTGATTTGAGAAGAGATGAGAACAGTAATCGTGGTCAGGAATTATCAGATAGTAGAAGAATATAGCAGTGCTAAATTCTGAGCCAAATTGTAAGTGTGATGGCTAGTAGTAGTATTTCGAATGGTAAAATCAAAGTAAGAGAGGCAGAGAGTTTGAACTTATGACTAAATGATTACAATTCAAGTACTTTGACCACACTGAAGTCACAATGAACAACATATCTTTGACTGATGGATAAGGATTAACAGTAGAAATTACTTGCGCCTGTTAACCTTCGTCGAGGAGCATAAGCCATGTGAGAGCGTTTCGAGAGGGATAAAGAACTCTTCTCAGCCTCGGTCTTACAAGGGCATTTGGAGGTAGTTCTCCACGTTTCCGCTCCGTACAGTAGGACTGTCCTGACGTTCGTATTGAAGATTCTGACTTTGATATTGGTCGACAGTTGTTTTGAGTCCCATATGTTCTTCAATTATAGTAGTGCGACCCTTTCTTTGCCACTCCTCGCCTTTACGTCTGCATCGAATCCTTGATGACCAGGTATGTGAAAGATTCCACATCTTTCAGAGTTTCTCCAACAAGTGTGATCGGGTTGGTGCTCTCTGTGTTGTATTTGAGAATGTTGCTTTTTCCTTTGTTTATGTTGAGGCCTACTGATGCAGAAGCTGATGCCACACTAGTTGTCTTCATTTGCACTTGTTTGTATGTATGAGATAGAAGGACCAGGTCATCTGCGAAGTCCAAATCGTCTAGTTGTATGCAAGCTAACCATTGTATTATGTGCTTCCCTTCATATGTGGAGGCCTTCATAATCCAGTCGAAAACCAGAAGAAAGAAGAAGGGGAGAATAGGTAGCCTTGTCTGATTCCGGTCATCACACGGAGTGCGTCTGTCAGCTGTCCTCTATGCACGACTTCCCACTGTAGTCTGTCGTATAGTTTCCGTATGATGTAGACGATTTCAGGCACACCATAGTGTCGAAGAAGTTTCCATGAGGTCCTGCTATCCACACTGTCAAAAGCCTTCTCACAGTCAATGGAGTTGATGTATAGTGACGAGTTCCATTCAACTGAATGTTCAGCGATGATCCGTAGTGTCGCGGTCCGGTCTGTGCACGACCGATCCTCACAGAATCCAGCCTGCTGATCTCGAAGTTGGGCAACAGTAGAAATCGATGATTTAGCTTGAAGAGGCGCAAATTTAAGAAACTGAACAAATATTTAATTTATCGGTCCATAATCACTTTACAAACATACATACCAAATAATATATAATAATCTACACTATTAGAACAGACTAATTAACTTAATTTGAAAGTTCCATTAATTTTAGTTTGGTTGACAGCTGATAAAAAACTACACATGGATAAGAAGGCTTGTTTGTGTTCCATCAACTTATATTTTTTGTATCGAAAGCGGGGTGGCTGATCGTATGTCAAACAGCTGTCTGTTGTAACAAATAAACTCACAAATTATTTTTTGTATGAAATCATAATTCCCTGTCAAATACCATGAGATTACTCAGACATAAATGCCAAGAGTAAATGTAAGAGTAGTACATGAAAGTAGTAGCTTCGAGTCCAGTAACTCCACAACATAGCCTACTGAGACAAACAAAGTAGGAAAGAATGCACCACAGGACTTGACAGAGACGTGTTCAATCGCCTTTTAAGTCTATTTTGTTTCTGAAGTTACGTATCCAATACTCCAAATTCACTCGCCTAGATTCTCTAGTCACTAGGTTATGTTCACTTTGAAGAACAACAACGGATGTGTACAGTCTTTCAGGAAAATGATGAGTCTTGCTCAGAATTTTAAAGACTAGCTGATTGGAGTGTGTAGTAAACATTCATAAAAAAGCAAATGAACTTTTAAATAAAAACTGATATCGGATTGATTATTTTGGGGGAGAACTTTAAGTTAACTAGTAAGAAACAGATTTACTTACTTGAGCTAAATCTCTTATATACCAGGTACGTTGTTTTGTGAATAGATGAACAATTGATACTTGCAACGGTGTAACATCAATTTTCACGCTACGTTTGCCAAGTGTAAGGTCAATATTTACTAGACCCAGTTTATGCATCCAAACGAGTGTTCTGTTGCCTTTTAGACGTTGGAAACATCTAAAATATAAAAAAATTTCCATTGAGATACATGAAGCTTAGGTTGTTACTGATTGGTTTAGACTACAAGAATTCAATCAATTCTAACCTTGTTTTATGAAATATTTATCAAGACATGATTCTTCTTGAATTGATATATACTATGTTAAAATTCTACGTTAAATATACTTAATAGATGACATTGAAACGAAGTGAAATTGACACACAGATGCCTCAGAACTTATATGCAATGGAGTTAATATTTATTTCAATTGTGTAATAGAGGGACAATGAAACAAGTATGAATTCCAAAAGTTATCCAATATGAGGCACCACAACTATTGATACAACTAGCATAAAAGAATAATAACAGTCAAATATCAATTAGTTCCTCTACTGGGAAAATTATTGACTATACAACAAGAACGTGTTAAAAACAGTCCCAACTAACAGAATCAATATGAATTTTGATCTCATTAGCCAAACTAATCATTTAAAAAAGATCCTGAGTGCCCTGGCACGGTCGACGGAAGGGAGAGTCCGCTATTCCCCTCAAAACGCTCTTACATAGCCACTGGCAGGGAAGTCCTAGTCACTGCTTTGTAGCTGAAGGGATGCTGTCTCCGAAATTGAGAGGACGAAAAGCGAATGTCCGGAGCCTTAACCGGGCTGGTGGACACGTAGAGCCTCCCAGGGGAGTAGAAAAACTCTGATTCCAAACCAATGGTGCACACGGGCTCCAGAATCCTAAGGGAACAAAAGGCGTATGAAACTATTGTTCGTCACCGACTGCCATGGGACTGCATCTCCTAACGTTGCTCCACTACCCTATGGATTATATCTCTGAAGGAAAGCTTGGGAAGTGGCCCCTTAAGAAAGCCACCTGTTTCGGTTTGGGCACTCAAGCCTTATTCTTGCTTTTTATATCACAAGTAAGGGGAGTTGGTGAGTAGGGTTTATTGAATATTCTATTTACATGAAAGTATACCTTTATTAGTAATTGACCGAATCTACTTAAGGAGGCGTTATTGATTGACTGTGGAATGGTTTGGATTATCCAGTTGTTGATATTTTTGACTGAAATGTAATCAGTTGAGGTTGGCATTAGGGATCCTGTACTGATTGCCTCAATATAGCCATTAAGACACAAGCTGATGTAAAATAGATAGGTCAGGAAAATCCGCACAAGATGGTCATATAGCAAACAAAATTGATTAACTTTCAGCAAAAAAGAACCAACAGGATAGTCCAATCCATTTCAAATTGAATTAAATCTCATGCTCATTTGATTGGTTATCTAGAATCAATAGCTAAGTGGATAATGCGGTAGAGTTTGAGTCCCACAGTGGACATCAAATCTGGGATTACATTCGACTGTCGAGTCCCAGATATGACAAAACGAGCGTCTTGGATTCTACTGCTAGCCACCACCATTTATCTATTCTATGTACGTTATGGGTTTAAAACCATAGATTACAAGAAGTTGAAGAATAATGAGAAATATACTGCTAGAAAGATTATGAGTGTTACTTTGAGATAAGCGATTCAGTCGTAAAACACAGTTAGACAATATAAAGTTGGCTAGAATTAATATTTTTTAAAGTTAAGTGAACTCCAATCCGATTTTACATATTGTTGAATTCCAGAAATAATCTTCATTTTGATGTAAAGTCCCTTCATAATACAAATACATAACATGGATTAATAATAAGCACTTTAAATATGCATACAATACATAAATCTTAATTAAATTTGTTGATCCAATATACATACTACTTACTGTTCATAATGTTCAAATACTGGACGGAAATCTTCAGGTATTTTAAATTTATCGTCAAGCAATTCTGGCCAATAATGAATAGATAAAATGTAAGCAGATAGCGGAAAAGCAATATTATTAACATTATTATTGCTCAAATTACTGGCAGTAGTAATGGAAGTCGTAGTAGCGCCAGTAACACATACAATAGACGTTGCTTTATTCTCCAAACAATCAACTTTTAACTGCGTCTCATCTGATTCTATGATTTCGTTGCCATCAGAAACAAGAGTAGGACTGTTTAACAACTTATCTGTTTGATCTAAATGCTTTTCTTTTGAATTAGTTGATGTAGCTTCTGACACTAAATTAGCAATTCGTTTCGAATCTCGAATATCTTTAAGCATAACCTATACGTGAGAAAACGTTTAACGTGGATAAGTCTAGAATTTAAAGACATTAACTTTGTCTACTGTTAAATTTCGAGGTAAATCATGTGAAATCGAACAATACTGTTATTTACAGGTGTAAGAATAGACGTAGATGGAAGAGGTTCAGATGAATGACTGGACAACAATAAAAAGATCGTTTCATCTAATACCACAAAAGAGCCATTTAACTGTATATTAAACGTGAATGGTGAATGAAAGCTTATGCAAATAAAACGTATGAGTTACATTGATATACAGGCTCTGTAATGATAAGTCGCTAATAAGAGTAGTAAGTCTCATTTACAACTACAAAACAATATACATCGATTGTAACAAGGGGATATAGATTGGATTAAAGCATTTCCATGCACGATTGCGTTGGTGCACGGTTATTGGATAGGAATTAGCCAATCAGTGCTAGTCGATGCTTGGAGAAGACTCTAGAATCTTATCATGTAAAAACTATAAATATACTAACGTCTTTCTTAATGTACTTTTTACTTTATCTACCCCTTGTTATTCGGAATATAATTTCTTTCTTGTTCAATCGTGTTCTGATTTGGGGACTTGTCGAGTGAATTCGTGTCCAAGAATACTAAGCAACAGGAATAGTTGGGTCGTGATAAGAAAAATTATAACACAAGGCAACCAAACATAAGAATAGATATATGCAAGTTCCTGTTTCAGGCCGTAAGCCAAACTTCTAGTCTGACAGAGAATGACACTGACTATTAAGAAGGAAGTGTATCAGCTAAACCCCAATATTATTAACAGTATCATGGCAACGTAGTCCTCAAACTACTGATATGGTCATAACACTTAGAGTTTAATTCCAAAAGACCAGAACTTATTTCTTGTCAAATGCATAGAGTAAAATCACACTCACTCACTAAAAGAACCGTCCTGATAATTAAAAGCATCGAATACAGAGCTTATAGTTTGTTCATTAACCTCATGAACGTTACTCTAGTTTTGTTCCTTGGTCTGGTATTGTAGTACTTATGCAAATAAGGATTAACTATCGTTAAGAATATCCTCAATTTCCACCACAAAAAGTGTTCACTGACGAGGTTGCCAAATAACCATACTTTTAAGAAACTTTATAGGAGGAAATATAGAAACAAAAACTGGACAAGTGTATTGTAACAAATCAGGATAAGATTAGTATACCCAACGTTTATTAAATAACGTTATCATGACATTAGTTCGTTCATATATTGGACAAAGTTATAAAAGCCTACAATGTGGTTTAATGGATTGATCAGATGATTTCAAGTCTACCCATTAGTGTAGCTTGGAATCCCTAAGTTCCGCATGTATTTGCTTTCTTGATAGTCGCTGAAAAAAAATTGTACAGACGTTAATAAACAAATCAGATATATATATATATATATATATATATATATATAATTTTGTAATTACAGAGAAAATCGGTAGCAAATACGAAAAACAATAGCGTTTCATGATAACAAAATGTCAAAAAGGAGTGGAGAAAAAATCAAGCTCACACACCAATTGACTTACTTCACATTCATGTAAATTCTGTTCGCCAAAACGAAGTTTTAACAGCTCCAAATTTCTTAATTCTCTTGCTGTATGAAAACTTCTCTGTCGTAATAAACGTTGACTCAATAATTGTTTGTATTCAACTAAAAATGCTTTCTTACTTCCATAAATACTGACTAACATGCTTAAAAGATCTAATTTACGACGCCAAGATCCTCGCTGACATAAAGCTTCAATAGGATCTGGTTTCCAATCACTTTCAAAAAGAAAATGTTTATCTGAGTTAGCGGAATGTATGTCGGAGTCAAATGGTGGGTCTGTTATCAAAAGAAAAATATATTAATATTATTGAGATGAATACATATTGTACTTTTTATTTTGACGTAAAAAAATAAAACGGTGATTATAATGAATGTGCGGATTAACTCTGTATAAATGAAACGTTTATAATATGGTATACAAAGGTGAACAAGTCATACATAAACATAACCGATGAATCACTTGGGCCCCGACTAACCTCTTATAGGACACCTGCTTTAGTCTGGGCACCCAAGCAGTATTACAGCCCACACATAAATCAAGTGACTTGTGTGGCAAATATTTATTCGGTTATCCTTTGTATCAATATTTGTGTTCAAATAAATAAATAAACTTATAGGACAGAGATCTTACATGGAACTCTTACACCGAGCAGTAACAGATATTATATCTAGTTGTTATAACTGGTCAAATTCTAACAAGTATAACGAGATGTAGCCTCTTGTTTACGTGACATGACACCCAAGTATTGTTTGCTTAAAAATTGGAAACAATTTGCGAGAACCCCAGGCATAAGTTTCGTTCTAGTTAGGAATCATCAGCAGGGTACTTCTGCAATTTTGAGGGAACCGACCTTCATGTGGGATTCAGGTTTTTTAAAGCCATAGACGTTACTACTAAGCCATTGAGGAAGCGACCGACCTCCTATAGAACTGATATGTTGATAGTAATTTATAACTGAGGAGTATTCACCGCTAATTTTCTTAGTTTTAGTGCTGACTGAATGTATTTAATAATTTAACGCTCCTAAATTCGACTGTTAGTTTCTGAACATGGAATTTTCGATGAAGTAGTTACCTTTCGCGAGTTATGCTATATAAGAAACTAATTCAAAGCGTCTAGTAGATTGCCTTTAGACATTTCGACGGAAGGTGAATTTATGACTTACTTTACAATTGAATTGAGTGATTTACAATAATTTATTTACTACAAAACATTTGAATATCACTCATGACCCTGTGAATGTAACATCGAAGAAGTAGTTTAATGACCAAAGCATTCCGATTTTAACGAGATGTCTAGAGTTCGAAATATGCTTTGGCTGTTTAATTAACAGGGTAGTATCACTGATCAATACAAAGTGTGGTTTATAGCCAAGTAAACAAGTTCTGTTGAATGACTCCTTGATCAAACTATGAAGACGGAGATAAAACCCCGCCCATGTAGGCTTTTTAAAGCATTTGATAAAACAACTATATCTTCTACAGATAATTATATATGAGGGGAATTCAGTTACATATATCCCATTTACATGAAAGATCAGTATGGTTTCAAGGTGTATTAATTTTCTTTAGCGGACAGTTAACTACTTTATTAGGTTTATTGCAAACGACTATGATTTCATTCACACTTAATGTATACGAAGACATATATTTGGTCATTGCTTATTAAGAATGCTAACTCACCTTCATAGACAATATCAGCATCACTATCTTCACCACCATCCAATGGTTCAACTTCCAATGGTTTAGGTAATAATAATTCTTGATGAAGTTCTGTAGTTGTATCAGTGTATGCTTCAGCCTTAATTTCATCGTCTTCACCATCGGTTTCTGGGCCAGATATTAATTTATCAACTATACAACGAACTGCATCCTCTCTTTGCCGAAGACATGTTGAGACTGGTTTGCAAACTATATCTTGTACCAGAAATGTATTATCGACTAAACGTAAAGCGCGTACTAAGTAATTGTATGCAGCTAAAATTTGTTCAGTATGAACACCTGGATGTAATAATCGTTGCTGAACCTAAGTAAGTTAGAATTAATTAGTATATCGGAGAAACATGTTCATATTAAGATGATATATTAAAAGATAAACAGATTCTGACTAGATACAAAACATTCAATACTTTGTTAGTTGTAAACCAATGAACAATCTGGATCAAAAGGTTCTGATGTCTGACGAAAATAGCCTTATTCATACTGATGCGCTATATTAGTTAAGTATGAATTACTTCAATAAGACGGGAAGGAGTCAGTGTCTGTACTTATAAAGTAAAGAATTGGTGTGCTTAGATAGTTATGTGAGTGCAAGTATTGTTATTGCTGGTAAAATAAGACTTTAAGCGACTAAACTTAGGAATAGCATGTTTTGATATGAATCACAAATTCAACGTTGTAAAATTGGTCTGGCAATGAAAGGTTGTGTGTTTATCAGTTACATAGAAACTGTTATCTTGGATATTATTATTTAAACACATAAATATTGGTACAAGGAAGAACCAGATACATATACGCCGCACAAATCTTACTCGATTTGTGTGAGGGCTGTGATACTGTCCAGATGCCCAAACTGAAGCAGGTGGTTTTCTTAGGAGGCCACACCCAGGGCCTTTGACCTAGGGGTCTAATCCACAAGGTAGTAGAGCATCATGAGATGCAGACCAACGATTGGTTCATACGCCATTCGTTCCTTCAGGATACTGGAGCCCATGTGCACCATTGGTTTGGAATCAGAGTTTTTCAACTCCCCTAGGTGAACTTTCCGTATCCGCCAACCTGGTTAAAGCGCCGGACATTCGCTTTTCGTCCTGTCAATTTTGTAAACAACAGTAATGCCACGAGAAGGCAGTGAGTAGGACTTCCTTGGCAGAGGCTATATATTCACGTGGCCATGTGAGAGCATTTCGAGAGGGAGAGCAGACTCTCCCCACTCTCGGCCGTACCAAGGCATTTGGAGGTGTACATTGGTTCTATCTCAGCATTTAACATCTACTGAGACAAAAAACAAGAGTATTTCAGAAAAAGATGTCTTCAAAACTGTGAAATCTCAAATCTCATCTTAGGATGTTAATTTATGTTTGTTATCGACAATGACCTATAGCATGAATAATTTCCAGTGGAATCATCGAGGAGAGATTTCTTAGCCTAACTATTCTACTGTTTTACGGTCACGTTACAGTTAATGAGTAAACCTTAAATAAAAAGCGTAAATCATTTTACGTGGCTGGAACCAGCAGTTAGCGGCTTTATGGAATGATTAATGAATTATGTGTGTAGTGCTATGATACATTGATTTTTGCACTCTTCAACTAAAAGACAATAGAACACCACTACACCTGTCGTATTGCTCGAATTTAGTGGCAACAACACGTAAGCAGCTATGATGGTTAGGATGAATCACATGCCTAGTTCAGAGTTAGTGAAGCGCTTCCTAAATTGTCACAGAAGAATTAGTACTCACGTTCCTAGATGAACTAAACAGACGAGTTGCACAATATTTATTTGAATGCCGATTGGCGTCTTATGATCCTGCTACGAATGGGAAGTTTTGAACGTAATCATCACAGCCATTAAGCCATTCATGACTTTGTATTACCGTGATGAATACTGCAAACTTTTAAAGAGCCGAATTAATGAGACAGTTACATTTCAACAACCAACGGTATACTCTACATTTATTATTGTCCCAACTTGTTAAGTGAATAAAATGAGATTTAGCGGAACGTAATCCCTCAGGACGTTTAGTTATCGGGATTAAACATCTGGTCGACAATTAGATACATTACACATGGAGAGCAAGTCCATATTTACAGAGAAATGGGAACAACGAAAAATTGGACAACTTACTTCTTCGGTTAGGTGAGTAATCAAATCTTGACGTATTGGGAGATGATCTAAACATTTACCCAGGTCCATAAGAGCAGCAACAGAGTCTGGGTATTCAATGACTAATGAAAACATATCAGGTTTATGAACTAAATAGAATGTCTTATATACAATTTCATCCGATAGCTCAGCATTGATCTCATGTATATCACTTTTTCTTGAAAACAGTCTAGGTATGAGAACCTTTTTCAGTACGCAGTTTTTATATTTTATTATTGAATCTAGAAATCGCTCAGTATAATTTTCGGAACATAATAACTTGGTTCTATATGATAGAGCTTCTTTAATATAAGGTGCACATAAGTGTCGATATAAATTATTCCAGGTGACTAGAAAACGATTATGTGTTAAATTTCGAGCTGACAACAAAATTTGCATTTTCCTGTCTGTAATGTTTGGACAAATGATGGAAGAGAATATATTTGACTCGTCAGTATCCATTTCAGCTGACTCAAGTTCTAAACACAAATAACTATGCCATAACGGTTGTAAGAAATTTTCACATTTCAATGAGCTTAACACAGATGTAACAAGGCATTGTACATCGCCCATTATTCTATTATCATTCATTACCGATTCCAAGCTTGAATCAAGGATAGATGCAAGATATGCACTCAACTCGTCATTTAAATTATCAATCAATTTTATGAACAAACACAGCAACCTCAGGAGATCGTTATCATCATCAAGAGTATGATAAAGATTGATAGTAGAAATATTCACCAGACAGTTGCATTCTTCTACCAGTGTAGAGAGTTGTGATGCTAAGCTTGAAGTTTGTAAGAAATATACTATTTGTTCGAAAAATAATTGTTTACAAAAACAAGAATCTATAGCATCGCAACCAAAAACTCCACGCAGATTATTGTGCAGTGAACTACTCATAGCTGTCTGTTGACAATATAAGACATTTGATGAAACCTGTAAGTTAAAAAGCATTAATTATTAAATATTGCTGAAATATACTTTTACATCAATTTTGGTAAATACTGCGCTTGAGGACAGAAGCTTGCGTCAGTGTTTAGGCAGGTGGTTTTCTCAGCCACCTATTTCCAATAACTTAGTCCTTAACCACTAAGTCTACAGCCCATTATACAGCTTACCGAGTTGACTGTTTATAGAAAGCCAATGTAACCATGAAAGGGCGCTCTTTAATCATACTTTTTCATCAAATATGTTATGTCATACATAGTGGATTAGGATATCTAATATGTAAATTATCCACTTTAATGGATGAGAGCGCAAAAGGTTATTTGAATTGCTTTTTATGTTCAGATACTTATGAAAAATCGCATAACCATTAACTTCGTAGTCTCACTTAGACTAGTAATTCTGATGGGGAGAGCATTTAAGGTCTTATCAAGCCATACAAGATTAAAACCCGTGTTTTATGATTTTAAAGTGGGGGAGAGAGGATTCATTAAAAATTGAAGAACCGTTACCCTGGTTCTGATTAGCTTGTCCATAATATATAGTCTCGCCACTTTTCTTATGGCTGTTTACTCGTGAAATGGCTGAGCTCTGGGATTCAGAACAAACATTGTATTTAGACTGATAATCTTAGGAAAAAAATCGAAGTATATTTCCTGGTAGTCGTCAATGACATTTCAGTTTATCGACATAATCGTACACACAGGTGACCTTGAACTATATTTTAGCTGACGGGATAAATATTAGGTTATGAAACAGTTTATGATAGAAGTGTAATACATTTGCAATGGATACGCACTTTTAATACGAAGAGTGGACCTCTATATGTGAATTATTACTAACGTTTTTGTCACAAACTGTCATCTTTCAGTTAGCAACAATGAATTTTGCGCTGAATTCTGATTGGTAAGTTTTAGTACTTTGTTTCAGAAGAACAATTATCATGGATATACACTTCGAAATCGGACTCAATCAAAGGGTAAAGGTCATAACTTTGTTTCAAATTATTACTCGAAATCGTGACTGAACACATTAGCTGACATGATTTGTAAACATCATTATCACAGAAGGATACCTAGAATAACTTTCCAATAAAAAATTCATTTCAGACGACAAGCTTTACTAAGCAGAAACAAATTGATGTCAACTCATTTTTCTGGAATTTCTGAATGGTCTTTTCGTCATGGCAAGGTATTATATTTCAAGTATCACTAATATATTTGTCATTAGCTTATATAAACCTGTTTATTTCTTTGAACTTGCCTTTTGTTGGTTCTGAAGAGTTCCAAGGTATTTGGTTATGTCCAGTGTGTGACAGCATACCCACTCAACTGTAATTATTATAGTCAAGTTAGTTATTTGTTGAGTTACATGTTTCGTAATTGAGGAAGTCTATCTTGTAGTGACCGGCCAGTCTCGATAAGAACACGATTGGAATAATAGAAACAATTATTATTATTGTAACCAATTGTACCAGAGATTGTTTTACTGTATTTGTTTAACTGTATCCGTTTCACTTCTTGTTCCATATACCACCTGGTTTGGTTCGAGCTTGCTCACGCACTGCTTATTCGCTTGTACTCTTTGGCACGTCTCGGTATTATTTCGATACCACGAGATCGCCAATAAATATACTTTATCTGGACTAGTAAAGCCATCTGGTTTACGGGCTATCAAGGGAACCAAATCATATTTGTACGCGTAATCGAATAGTAGTGGTGATCATAGTCCGTCCACGACTCGACATCCACTACAACTGGTGAGCCGTTGTTGGAACACGCAATACAGCTGGTAACCCAATCCATCGAGCACAAGTCAAACTTGGCCAATTCTCCAAACCAGATCAATCTGGTGAGTCTATTTATCTATCCACATCTGTTGCATATATTCGTATTGATTTTTTTTTAAATATATAATATTTTGACAACTTAATATGGTAGATAACGATAAGAATAATATAAATATGATAGACTCCGAGATACAGGTTATCAGTTTCCGACCGGTTCCTTTCATCCCCCATGATCCAGAAGTCTGGTTCGCGGCACTGGAATCTCAATTTGAGATCCGCCGCATAACCAATCAAAGGCAGAAGTACGCCTACGCTTTGGAATCATTGCCCGCGGATCACCTAACCGCTGTCCGTGAGGTTGTCCTCAATCCCAACGTTCCAAACGTTTATGACCGTCTTAAGGATGCCATCCTTCGACATTTCCTCCCATCAAGAGAGGAACGATTGAGGACACTTTTAGCACGTCACCCTATGGGTGATGCTAAGCCGAGCCACCACCTCACGCGCCTGCAATCCCTTGCAGGAAACATGACAGCTGACTCTGAGATAGTCAAAGAGTTGTGGTTCGAAGCCTTACCAGTCAGTATCCAGCCAACCCTTACGGCTCTGCTCGAGGACACCCCGCTCAACAAGGTGGCCCTCATAGCAGATAAGATTCTAGCACGAGTTAACACCAAAGACGACTATTTGGTTGCTAGTACTTCCCGTTCTAACATTGATCTCGATGCTAGACGACCTCCGGCTCATGGGGATAGGGACAGATGTATCCATACTCGTCTCAGTTTTCGAGACCGCTCAAATGTGCCAGCCCCCTACGTCCCTCGACCCAGGTCACAATCTCGAAAAGCCGTAACGACTCGCCCCAAGCGGGCATCTTCCAAGCCACGCCAGAAGGCGGTTTCGGAAGCGAGTCCAGGTTGGTGCTGGTTTCACCGTGCTTTCGGAGCCGGTGCCCGTCATTGTCGAGCTCCCTGCTCATACAAGGCGGGAAACTTCCCAGCCGGCGAGTAAATGCGGCCGTACTCGCCGGCACTTCACCTCAGGTTGGCCGTTTATTTTATGTGCACGATTATCGCACCAACGCCAGGTACCTTGTGGATACGGGTGCCCAAGTTTCTGTCGTACCTATCGGTAACAGTAAGTCTCAAGCCACTATGCTTCGACTACGCGCTGCGAATGGCTCAGTCATTCCCACCTATGGTACACGACAGCTTACGGTCAACCTGAGCAACCGACGACAGTATCTGTGGACGTTCATCATTGCCGATGTTCCCACAGCTATACTCGGTATCGATTTCCTACAGCACTATGAATTGCTAGTCGATTCACGTAGGCTGCAGCTAATTGATATTTCGTCGAACAGCAACTTTATGGGCTCTAAAGCCCACACAAACGCGTACCGAATCACAGGTGTATTTCATTATCGTGACGATTTATTCCACGTTTTATTTCAGAAATTCCCCAAATTAACTAAACCTTTCGAGGAGACTCCATTGGTGACCAATCGTGTGGTACACCACATAGTCACCCGCGGACCACCAGTCACGGCAAGACCTCGCCGACTGGCACCGGACAAATTAGCTTTCGCTAAACGTGAGTTCGACAATTTACTAGCTACTGGTATTATTCGTCCTTCTCACAGTCCTTGGGCCTCACCTCTCCACATGGTTCGAAAAAAGGATGGGGTTAGTTGGAGACCATGCGGAGACTACCGAGCGTTAAACACAGTTACACGTTTCGATAGCTATCCCATCCCCCACATACATGACATCACGGCATCACTCAAGGGCACGACAATTTTTTCCGAGATCGTTCTGATACGAGCATATCATCAGATCCCAGTCGCTCTTGAAGATATAGAGAAAACTGCCATCACGACTCCTTTCGGTTTATTTGAGTTCCTACGAATGCCATTTGGATTACGGAATGCTGCTCAAACTTTCCAAAGGTTTATCGATAGCATTGTACGAGACCTAGATTTTGTTCACGTCTATATTGATGACCTGCTAATCGCATCATCAAACGTAGATGAACATTATCAACACCTGTTGCTACTATTCCTGCGCCTTTCGGATAATGGAATAATAGTCAACCCCGACAAGTGTGAACTCGGGAAGAAGGAAATAAAATTCTTAGGTCATGTTATTAAGCATGAGGGTATTCTACCTTGTGAGGATAAAGTACGTACTATAATGGAGTACACTGTACCGTCCACACTCAAAGAACTGAAGGCATTTCTCGGTTTGGTCAACTTCTACCGACGCTTCATTTCGCACGCGGCAGAACAGTTACGACCGTTAACCGATTTACTTCGCGGTAATCCACGCAAACTGGAATGGAACGACGCCGCACGTACTGCATTTTCAGATATCAAAACGGCCCTAGCTCAAGCCACACTTCTCGTGCATCCTGACCCATCAGCCACGCTTAGTATAGCGGTTGATGCATCGGATTTCGCCATAGGAGCCGTTATGCAACAGAATATCTCCGGTAGTTGGCAGCCCCTAGAATTTTTCTCACGACGCCTCACTCCCACGGAGACGAGATATAGCGCTTTTGGTCGCGAACTGCTAGCAGCCTACTGCGCCATCAAACATTTCCGGCACGCTGTAGAAGGTCGTAAGTTCATCTTATTCACCGACCATAAGCCCTTAACGTATGCTCTGCATACCAAGTCTGACCGCTTCTCACCACGAGAGTGCAGACATTTGGACTATATCTACCAGTTCACGACAGACCTTCGTCACGTCAAAGGCGAGTCGAACTGTGTTGCTGATGCTTTATCACGTATCCAACTGAATGCAGTTACTTTGCCAGTGCTCGATCTACCTGCTATGGCCGCCGCCCAAGCAAACGATACTTCATGCACGGAAGCTCAACAGTCATCGTCCCTTCAATGCCGGGAAGTACCCCTAGCTACTAGCTCTGGTACTATCCTATGCGATACTTCCACGGGCCTCCCTCGACCCACCGTACCCTCCGCTTATCGCCGTCTCGTCTTTGATGCCCTTCATGGTTTATCTCATCCTGGTATCGCAGCCACACTACGTCTCATCGCTGCACGATACGTTTGGCCGTCCATGAATAAAGATGTCCGTATGTGGGTAAAGCAATGCTTACAATGTCAACGATCAAAAGTGCACAGGCACGTAGCTGCCCCTATTGGCACTTTCGCTACGCCTGATGCTCGCTTCGATCACGTTCACATAGACATTGTAGGACCATTACCACCATCGCACGGGTATGATCACATACTCACGTGCATTGATCGTTTCACAAGATGGCCCGAAGCTATTCCCATCACGTCTATTACGGCGGAGACAGTTGCTCACCGCTTCGTAGAACGATGGATAGCTCTGTACGGTTGTCCCTCGACTGTCACGACTGACCGAGGACAACAATTTGAGTCCGCATTATTCTCCTCACTAACACGGCTGCTTGGTACGGAACGCATACGCACTACCGCCTACCATCCAGCATCAAACGGTTTAGTTGAACGGTTTCATCGCCAACTTAAAAGTGCTCTTCGAGCACACGGAAACAACAATTGGTACGAAACCCTGCCGCTCGTCCTCCTGGGAATCAGAACGAGTCTAAAGGCAGATATTCAATGTTCCGCCGCTGAACTTATTTACGGCACGACATTGCGTCTGCCTGGGGAATTTTTCACACCACGGAGCAGCACTAAGTTCGGCGAACCAGACTACGTCCAACGACTGTCTGCATTCATGCGAACACTGACTCCGGTGTCTACTCGTATACAACATCGACAGGTCGCTCTCCCTCGAGAGTTATCTGCCTGTTCACATGTTTTCATACGAGTGGATTCGGTACGCAAACCTCTACAACAGCCTTACGAAGGCCCTTTTCACGTGATTTCCCGTCACGAAAAGACCTTCAAGGTTGATCGACGTGGCCGCATCGAAACAGTCAGCATTGATCGTCTCAAGCCAGCACACGTCGATGACAGTGCTATACCTGATAAGCCGAGACCCAATGTTAGACCCATCAGAGCTTCTAGCGGGATTTCTACATCTACTTTGGATCCCACGCTAGATGCACCTGAGACCTAATTCTCACGTCCCAGTCAATAGCACGTGTCATCTGCCCCGTCTACGGACGAGACTTCCGTCTCACGTCCAGACCTACAGACCACACCGCCCTTGACTGCGGATGAGATTGCAGGCTCACGAGGTTCGAACGAGACTACCGTCTCACGTTCTGGTCGCCGAGTACGCTTACCCGTACGCTTTCTCGACTAACCTCATAACCAACTACGGATACAGTATAGGAATCTGCCCCCATACTACAAGAAAGCTACACTTTTCTCTTTTTCTATCATTTTTTTTGTTTACCCCGAGCCTACGCCTCCGACCATCGCTGTTACGGTATCGTCGACTTCAGTCAACTTTCGCGAAAGCTGGCCTGATCACCCACGCTCTAGTCAACGCACTCAGTCGAACTCTCTGGCTCCAAATACGTATGGTATACATTTGGGCCCGAACATGGTTATCCTGGTCGCATCTGGTTCCTTGGCTCAATCTGGTTTCGTCCTACGTCTGCAGCGTTTCTGGTCCGGACCTCTACGAACGCAACCTTCAGATTCTGGATACAAACCACTCTGGTGTAGCATGCTAATCCAAGCAATCAATACAGCACGTTCCTTCTGGTACCGTTCTACGTCAAAGACTTTTGGTGGCAACTCGAGGATCAACGATCACTCCCTGTTCTGCCAACGTTTTCGTCCTACAATTGCACGTTTCGCGATCAGTCCCACGAATGAAACCGCTACGTATCGAAAGTGTAAATCCTTTCTAGCGGGGGGCTCCTGTAGTGACCGGCCAGTCTCGATAAGAACACGATTGGAATAATAGAAACAATTATTATTATTGTAACCAATTGTACCAGAGATTGTTTTACTGTATTTGTTTAACTGTATCCGTTTCACTTCTTGTTCCATATACCGCCTGGTTTGGTTCGAGCTTGCTCACGCACTGCTTATTCGCTTGTACTCTTTGGCACGTCTCGGTATTATTTCGATACCACGAGATCGCCAATAAATATACTTTATCTGGACTAGTAAAGCCATCTGGTTTACGGGCTATCAAGGGAACCAAATCATATTTGTACGCGTAATCGAATAGTAGTGGTGATCATAGTCCGTCCACGACTCGACATCCACTACAATCTAAATGCAGTAGATTTTCTTGATACCAGCAGCTATCAAATTACTAGTCAGGAAGTCAGTTGGTGGCATCGTGAAACTAATAAAGATATAACCCAAGTGTCATGGGAAGTAGTTGCTGATAATTTATGAGACACGCATCAGGTACAGATAGTTCAGTGGGGAAATGATAATCCATGGATTAGAACATGCTGTCAAGTCTCTCTCGAAGCTATAATCCGAGGGAGGTTGTGGTCACTTCCTTTCGGAGAACATTTCAAATGGGAGCGTTTCTTAACAATAACAAGTTAGAGCACATTCGGAGTGTTTGCTTTTTGATATGCGATCTTCCAATACCCACCGTGAAGAGTGTGGTAATGATATTCAGATTATATGCTCTAGTTCGGGTAGCTTGGCGTACCTGACTTGTTTTCCATTATTCCGCTACGGTTTAAGGAGAATAATCTCACGTGCTAGGGTCTGTTCTCGTAAAATATATGCTTTAGACCTATCACCCACTTGTGTGCTTGTTTCTGAACTTGATCTTACAGATTTTTATCACTTCCGAAGGATGAGGTACGACGACATTGTTGACTTCAACGTGTGGCCGTGTTTATCTTTTAAAGTGTTAGGAAGAACTGCGTGGTGATTGCGACAGGTTGTATCTACGTAAAATGGAGTGTTTTGTTTGCCATGTTGTCATCATCAATGCAGTTTAAGCTTGGTATTTGAGCTCATTGCAGTTACTTGAGGGAGATCGCTCTCTAAGTCAATCGAAAGCAAGCTTCGACGGAGGTTGTTTCAGCCACTTGGGAACTAGAAAAGCAAACCGTTCGCTAATGGCAAAAGTAGTCATTAACGCAAAAGGCATCTAAAGTGTTATTCTTCAACTCCTTTACCAGGATAGTAATTGTTAGGACTTACCTTAGAGACGTCA